GTTATGAAGAACTGGGAAGTAGGTATATCAAAAACCTTAGAATAAATGACATGAAATCTTTGCATGAGAGTATCTCTAAAGAGTATTCTCTAGGTTGCTCCATACATGGAAATTTTTTTTTTTTTTTTTTGATTAAGGACTTTTGAATGAGTACTAAAAAAGAAAAGCAGGGAACATGAAGAAAACTTTAAATTGGCTAGAAGTTTACTCAGGCTTTCTATCAGGTGTTAGCCAATCTTTAGCATTCTGCTAGTACTTTTATATCCCTGATAACATTTCATCTTTTTTATCCCAAATGAGGAAAAATGAATTAACCCAAATTCTAATTAAAATGTGGCCTGTTGGCCAGGCATGGTGGCGTATGCCTGTAATCCCAGTGGCTCAGGAGGCTGAGGCAGGAGGACCAGAAGTTCAAGGCCAGCCTCAGCAAAAGCGAGGCTGTAAGCAACTCAGTGAGACCCTGTCTCTAAATAAAATACAAAATAGAGCTGGGGATATGGCTCAGTGGTTGAGTGCCCTGAGTTCAATCTCTAGTATCCCTGCACCCAAAAAAAAATGTGGTCTGTTGTACAAGCAATCTTTCCATAGTTGTCTACTACATGATTGTTGATCTTAAGTGTTTATTTGTTCATTGGTATCTTAGGTAAAATGTGTAGCAGAAACATAGACCAAAAAATACAAATGATGCTGAACTACTACAGCTAGTGGTAAAAGCAAACCCTACGAATCTTCCCCCCACAAAAGGAGTCTAAATGCTTTCATGGGAACATGCTGTTCTCCACGCCATTGTCATCCTCCTATCTTATTAAAGCACAAATACCACCTCATGATGCTAATCTTTTTATGAAGCAAACACTCAGCTACTTCACGGGAGCACTGGATTGTTTGGAAGTTGTGATGCAGTTTCTTATTTCCTATGGTGCTTGCCATTTTCTTCCCCTCACTTATGAGTAGTTACCAGGAATGGCACAATCAATAAATTAATTTATGATACAGATAATGAAAGGAATATATTATACTTCTTAATCTGACAGTTTTCAAAATTTCTAGGTATTTAGCATATGATATTTTATAAATAGCTCTTGATCTATTCCCACCAAAGAGTGTTAACTTCAATATTCCAGCTATTCTCTTTATTAATATCAAAGAACACCTACATGAAATGCTTTGGGAGTTACCTTAGCGGTCTCCAGAGGACATTGCCCACCTGTACCTGAGAGAGCTAACCAGCATAACCCATCCACCTAGAGAAGTCACAGCAACAGGGATCCCAAGCTCTATGGCATCCACCTCCTTGTCCTAACAAGGATTTTGAGGCTTAGAAAGTAAGATGGGCTGGATATTTGTGTCTCTTCCAAGTTCGTATGTTGAAATCCTAGCTCCAAAGGCAATAGTACTAGGAAATGAGGCCTTTGGGAAGTGATTATGTCATGTGAGCAGAGCCCTTGTGAATGGAACAGTGCTCTTACAAACTAGGCCCAAGGAAGCTTGCTTATTCTTTCTACCATGAGGACTCAGCAAGAAGGTGCCATCTAGGAACCAGGAATGAACCCTCACCAGACACCAAATCTTCCAGAGATGTATCTTGGGCTTCCAGCTTCCAGAAATGTGAGAAATAAATATCTGTGGTTTATAAGCCATCACTTGATGGCATTTTGTTATAGCAGCTCAAATGGACAATAGGGAGCTAGCTCGTCACAGTTAAAATGTTTTTATCACTAAGGAAAAATTTTCAGTTTCTTTCAGAGGCAAGTATGTGGTAGTCGTAAAAAGAGGAACCAGTCTGTTCTGTCTGTACTTGTCGCATTCTTAGTGTGGAATGTGGACTTAAAACCAAGCTTCAGAAACCCCTGAACTGTTTCAAATCATTGCTCATTTTTTTCTGGGGAACATAAGCTCCAGCCTTCTTGGGAAAAATGGTTGTCTTCTTACTAAACTAGGCCCCAATGAGACATTCCCTCTGAACACTGGAAGCTGTTCCTAAATAAGCCACATGTATAAAGGCCTTTTTCCCCAGCTAGAAGACTCACAGGGGCCTAGAATGGTGCCTCCTCTTTGCAGAGTAGAGAAAGTTTTCTATCTGTACTCTGGGCCACAAGCTCACTTTCCATAACCTACCTCCTACTCCCAAACCTGCTCCATTTAAGCAAGACCTGAGCACCTAGGTCTGACAATTTCTCGGTATCCTGCCTTATGCAAGGCCCTAAAAGCCTTGTTTAAACTACTTTAGACAATGGGATGAAGAGCACGTGGTACATAGATTGTGCCCTAAAAATTTCCCAAGCAGTTGTCCTGCTGACTCTTGACACTGCCTCCCCTTCTATTCTCAGCCATTGCCTTGAAACAGGGAGAGGTGTTTTGCCCAATATGCAGGCTTCCTCTTATCCATCAGTCTCACATGCTGCAAACACATAGATGACATGCTTCATCAAAATAACAATAACAATAATAATGGTCATGACACTTTGTGCTTCCAGGGACAGAGACCAGAGATGAATATTCAATTCATATAAAACCTTGTAACGTGTATATAATATTTATGTTAAAAGGGTTAATGCCCTTTTTATATTGTTCTTAATTTTCATTTATTATATATGACAATAGAATGCATTACAATTCACATTACACATATAGAGCACAATTTTTCATATCTCTGGTTGTACACAAAGTAGAATCACATCTTTCATATCTTCATACACGTACTTAGGGTAATGTTGACCATCACATTCCACGGTCTTTCCTTCACCCATGCCCCCTCCTTTCCCCTCCCTCCCCTTTTCCCCTTTGCCCTATCTAGAGTTCATTTAATTCTCCCACCGCCACCCCCACCACATCATATTATAAATCAGCACCCTTAATCAGAGAAATCATTTGGCATTTGGTTTGAGGGGATTGGCTAATTTCTCTTAGCATTATATTCTCCAGCTCCATCCATTTACCTGCAAATGCCATGATTTTACTCTCTTTTAATGCTGAATAATATTCCATTGTGTATATATACCACATTTTCTTTGTTCATTCATCTACTGAAGGGCATCTAGGTTGGTTCCACAGTTCAGCTATTGAGTTGTGCTGCTATAAACATTCATGTGGCTGTGTCCCGGTAGTATTCTGTTTTTATGTCCTTTGGGTACAGACGAAGGAGTGGGATAGCTGGATCAAATGGTAGTTTCGTTCCCAGTTTTCCAAGGATTCTCCATATTGCTTTCTATATTGGCTGCACCAATCTAAAGTACCACCAGCAGTGTATGAGTGTGCCTTTTGCCCCACGTCCTCGCCAACATTTATTGTTGTTTGTATTCTTAATAGTGACCATTCTGACTGGAGTGAGATGAAATCTTAGAGTAGTTTTGATTTGCATTTCTCTAATTGCTAGGGATGTTAAACATTTTTTCATGTATTTGTTGATTTGATTGTGTATCTTCTGAGAATTGTCTGTTCGGTTCCTTAGCCCATTTATTGATTGGGTTATTTATTTTTTTGGTGTTACGATTTTTGTGTTCTTTATATATTCTAGAGATTAGTGCTCTATCTGACATGTGTGTGGTAAGAATTTGTTCCCAATTAGCAGGCTCTCTATTCACCTCAGTGATTGTTTCTTTTGCTGAGAACCAGCTTTTTAGTTTGAATCCATCCCACTTATTGATTCTTGATATTAATTCTTGTGTTATAGGCATGTTATTAAGAAAGTTGGGGCCTAATCCAACATGATGGAGATTTGGGCCTACTTTTTCTTCTAATAGATGCAGTGTCTCTGGTTTAATTCCTAGGTCCTTTTTAATTTTTTTATTGTGGGTTGTTCAAAACATTACAAATTTCTTGACATATCATATTCCACACTTTGATTCTAGTGGGTAAATATTTATTTTTTAGTTGTAGTTGGACACAATATCTTTGTTTCATTTGTTCATTTTTATATGGTGCTGAGGATCGAACTCAGGACCTTGCGTGTGCTAGGCGAGCGCTCTACCACTGAGCCACAACTCCAGCCCCATTCCTAGGTCCTTGATCCACTTTGAGTTGAGTTTTATGCATGGTGAGAGATAGAGGTTTGATTTGTTGCATATGGATGTCCATGTCATTAACCCTTTTTGATAGAGATGAAGGACTTGATATTCAGAAATGAACCCAGAGCTGCATGGGAACACAGTAGTTCTTCCAGAGCATCACCATTCCGTCCAACTTGAAAAAGCTGAAAAGGGTGTATATTACTATTTTAAGGGATGTCCACTCTTCCCCATGTTCCCCCACTTCTCCCCTTGACAACCAGCCTGCGCCCGCAACTCGTCACTTTCACATAAACCAACCGAGGGCAGCTTTGTCACAGGGTCATTGGAACCTGGCTTCCAGCTCCAGGTCAAGCAATTAAATCTGTTATGTGTTAGAGGTTTAAAGCTAGTGATGAGGGCTGAGGATGTGGCTCAAGTGGTAGCGCGCTCGCCTGGCATGCGTGCGGCCCGGGTTTGATCCTCAGCAAAAGATGTTGTGTCCGCCAAAAACTAAAAAATAAATATTAAAAAAAAAATAAAGTTAGTGATGAAACTACTAGCCCCAAACAACCACATTGACCAACCAAGATCAGTGAAGTAAATAGAGACACATCTAAATGGGACTAGGATTTTTCTCCCTGACCCCTCATTTTTAGTCTATATGATCAGAGAAGAATGTGTAGTAATGAGATATTAACTATAGCAGAGTTTCATCTTCAAATTGTTTTTAGTGGGGAAAATATTATTTTAAAAATCAATCTCTGATCTTTTCTCACTTTCAATTAAAAAAAATGAAAAGAAAAAGCCAGAACTATTTTTATTTGAGATGATGAAGTCCCTTTAGAAAAAGTAATGTCTCCTTTCAAACCTACCTTTCTTTTTTAAATATTAATAGACACACCTCCACAACTTTGACCTCATGGAATGAAGAAACTAAAAAGTGAATAAACACACTCATGCTGATGATTAACTAATGGTTACAAAGAACCAGGATTTAAGATATCTTTCATTTTCACTTGCTAACAATGATTTTAGTCAGAGTTACAAGTCAGGATCCTTTTTAAAAATTTGAGGTGGGAAGTCAATAGATTCAGGGGAACTTAATTAAATGGTTTCTGATGAATCAGGACCCACATTCTCTGCTGTCACAAAAGGAGGATCCTGATCCAAGAAGCCATAGTGAAAGATGTTTCAGGTTGATCTACAATGAGATTATTCATAACAACAATGATTATGGTAAGGTTTTGGCTTTTTCTTCAGCTGGGCTTTGTTGACCCCCCTACTCTATGTGCAATAGTAGGACTTGCAAAGATTTTTCTAATTTTAAATGGGGTAAAAAAAAAATCTGGCCTTTAATTTAAAAGCATATATGTGTATCTCCTTTCATTGGCAATGATTTAACTACACTTGTTCAAGGTAAAATTTTCAGAGACAAAAGTCCCAGGCATAATTTGACTTTTAAACAACTGCTCTCAGGAAATAGGTAACTGACTACCCAGGAGGTTCATTATTCACCATGTGAAGATGTGAGGTCTTAAGGACATTGAAAATGTCATTCAGGAGCCAGGATCAGTGGTACACAACTAAAATCCCAGCTACTCAGGAGACTGAGGCAAGAGGACTGCTTGAGCCCAAGAGTCTCAGCAATACAGTGAGACCCTGTCTCAAAAAAAAAAAAAAAAAAGTCATTCAGTCCATCCACTCTGATGTGTGTGTGTGTGTGTGTGTGTGTGTGTGTGTGTCCTGCACATAAAACTAAATTCCCTTAGTTTTTTAAAACTTGCTTTTTCATTTGTCATGCTATAAATACCTATGGAACACTGGTCAGTGTCAATCAAACCCTTTCAGATTGTAAATGTCTCCTGGCATATGCTCTGACTAAACCACTTCCAGAGTCATACTTGAGACCCCAAATTTGACACAATCCAGAATGAGAGATGGAAGACTGTGTGGAGCCCAGATCTTGGGCAGAATAGAGTTGCCCTAAATAGGTTAGTGGTTGGTAGAATAACTTCAATACTTTAAGCTTTTTAGGAAAGTGAGGGAGAAACACAGAGTGACAAAGTCTCCTTCTTTCATAACCTTCCTTAGTGTCTGACCTCAGTGTATTCTACCTAAGGCTGTCATCATAACTGCCATCCCCATCAGCATCACCAACTGCCACACATCACCTCCTCCTCTACTACTACTCCTGCTGCGATTATTGTTGCTATGACCACCACCATCACCACCACTGGTACCACCACTGCCACCATACTGACAACCACTGCCACTACTATTACCATCTCACTCCCTCTACCCCTGCCATTGCAACCACTGCCAACTCTAGCAACACTATTAGCAGCCACCACTTCCCCTCCACCACCTCCATGATCACCACCCATATAATTAGCTTTGATAAAGGCCAAACCTGATGTCAGTAGATTTATATGCATTATCTCAGTTAATTCCCATAACACCCTATATCTCAGCTATGCTTGTTAGTCTCCATTTTACCTGCAAGGAAACAGAAACTTGGAGATGTTAAATTACTTCAACAAAGTCAAGTACCTTGGACATGATTTGTTGGATGTGGCCAGATTCATCCCTCTGCTCTGCCTCCCTGTTCTTCTCCAAATGCAATACACCTCTAACCTGGTCACATATGGATTAAGGTTCTCTAGAGAATTAAGAAACAGTAACAGTGAGGGAAGAATAAAGGAAGTAAAGTGAGAGAGAGGAAAGAAGGAAATACAACCTTTTCTTCTACACCGAAGATAAGATTTCAATGACAAATGTTCAGTTCAAGAGCACATTGTTAGTCTCAAATTTACTCTAAAGTGTAACTGATAGAAGTCATATTCTACTCCCTCCTCCAACATATGTCTCTTGGCAGCTTTTTCCAAGGGAAGAGAAAGGTATAAAGGTATCGAATGCACAAAGAGAGGAAAGTGAGGGGTTGGGGGCATAGGCAGAGGAGCAAACTGGTGCAGTTTCCCTTGCATGTTCAACCTGATAAACAGCAGGTCACTAGGGAGGAAGCATACAGATCTCCAAAGATAACATGATTATTTGGAGCTAACCTCAAGAACAGAAGCCTGTTGAGGTAGATCCTTGTCACAGATGAACACCTCTATGCTATACTGTGGTCCAGACTCAGACCTTCCCAGTCAATCTGGAGGTTAGAAGGAAGCTAGGAAGAGGGATCCATCAAGACCTCACTCTCTTCAGGTAACATTCCAGTGCCATGACATGAGAGCTAACCACTGTTACCTGACCTTACCCAACTACAAGTGAAAAATGGAAATGAAATTCAGCTTGCTTTATTCATCTACTTATTATTGCTGATAGTCTAAGAAGCTGGTGATGAGCTCTTTCATCTAGCTGTCTCTTGCTTCTACACATTCCCTCCTTATATCATGTATTATGAGTCATTCTTTGGAGCATAGAAATCCTGAATAAGAAGTTTCTCTCCAATCTGATACCAGTCTACTTTTCCAACCTCCCTCCCCTAATACCACCTGACCCAAGGTGTGGATCAGCATCCTCCTCCAGACTCCCAGAGAACATGGGCAGCACTATCACAGTGCATCTCATACACTTGTACAGCTGTTCCATCACTTTTCCACTTGACCCCACCCTCTCAACACTCTGCTCCACATAGACAGAAATTGTCCTCCACTTTTATTTTCTTTGCCCCAGTAAGACTGGTCATGAGACTCCATGAGAGCTTGAACAAAGAATGAGTGAACAAATAAAATATTATATGAGTCATATATACCTACATCCTTAGGAATTCAATAAATATTGAATAAGTGATACATTATTAGGCTTTCAATTTTTTAAATTTATGACTCCCAGGAAGAGATATATTTTGTATATTATAAATCATGCAAACATTTACGTATGTAACAGGAAATTTTTATGAAACTAATACTACATGGGAGATATTATTCTATTCTTTTTCATTCTATTCCATTTCTTTACTATCTTATCTTGTGTTTTTAAAGAAGCAGACTTTGAATCAAGGATTCAAATGCAAGTACTTTACTTTGGAGATGATCTCAGGAAAACACAAGTGGGGAAGTAAGATAGGAAAAGCCAGGAAACCAATAAAAGGTTTGTTATCCATTACAGAATGTGTACCTTGCCTCAAAGTTATCCTGCCCAGGACTGGAGTACTAGTGTATTCAGTATATTTACATTCAAATTTTCTCAGTCATTGGTTGAGAGCTGCTGGGCAGATGGCAAGGGTAGACTAATTTCCTGGTACTTCCTACCTGTTAGAATGGGGTATCAAAGAAGCTTTCAGGGGAAGAAGAGAGATTCTTAAAGAAGTATAGACACTAGCATTTGGAGGTGGGCTGTTGTACCCCAGAGTATTAAGGGGAAGGAATATGTGTGGGATGCCGTTAGTATCTGCAACACATACTATCTCATGATTTTAAAATGTCTAGGCCCCTAGTCACTGAATTATTTTTATGATCTATTCATGGATTGCAACTCACAGTCTGAAGAGCAGTATATGTTCTAAAGAGTAGTCCTTATGGTCCATGTACTCCCAGTACTGCATTAAATGATCTGATAGTACATATCCAAATATTCTGTGTTAATCTTTGCTTTAAAATTTCAAACTATATTAGGAAAAAAGATAAAACCAATGAAATGTAGAATTTTCTTTCTGTATAAATATATTTAAAGGAAAATGTATATTGAAATATATATATTTTTTTGGTACCAGGGATTGAACCCAGGGACACTTAACCACTGAGCCACATCCCCAGTCCTTTTTGTATTTTATTTATAGACAGAGTCTCACTAGTTGTTCAGGGCCTTGCTAAATTGCTGAGGCTGGCTTTGAACTCAAGATTTTGAGCCGCTGGGATTATAGACGTGCACTACCTCACCCAGCTTGAAATATAAATATTGAATAAGTGATACATGGGCATGGAGGGACAAATGGAAAGATAATGCCTAAAAGAATGGCGTTTAGGCTCCTTTGCCCTGAGGATGTGTCCTTTATTGCAATCCTCTCTTCTTTGCTTTTCAAGCCTAATTGTACTTCTCTCCACTACAGAGATTCGGCTATGGAGGCTGGGTGCAGCTCCAACACCATGGCAAGGTGAGTTTTTCCCAAAGCATGAGTATGAGCAGGACCCAGGGACATCCTGAGTATTAAGATACTTTATTGCAGGCTGGGGCTTCAGGGAACTCAGTTCTCCTGCCCTCGCATTAACTTGTAGTAGGGAAGGAAACAGTACCACTATTTTTCAGAATTATTAGGAGAAATGGGGGTGACTTCAAATAGTGGTATTTAGGAAGATAAAATTGGAACTCGAGAACACATTGAGAAATGACTTCCCCGCCCCTCTCTCTTTTGGCCTAGAACCAATTTTGGCATTTATTGCTATGCCTCAAGGGTTATCACAGTATATTAAGGCTGACCAAATAAATGGAACAATTAAGTTTGAGCACAAGCTTGAGAAATTAAACATTGGAGACAAAAGGGAGAAGCCACTGTTATTAAGGGCTGAGATTGATACGAAAAAGGGAAGATACAGGGCAAAGCATTCTGCAAATAATGAGGCCTGAGAGTGATCTGGGAATCCAGACCTGCACAAAGTTCAGGTCTGACCTCATTTTCAGATGCCCTCTATGAGTTCAAAGGAAACATTCTTGAGCTTCTAGCTAGAATATGGACATGACTAACATGCCCTGGTGCAGTCATGGTCTGGAAAGAGTATGCACAGGGTCAACCCAAAGCAATGTGGTAAGGATAAGACTGCCTTTGCTAAAGGGCACAGATTTGAACACCAAAGACTGGGAACGGCCTCCTGGAGAAAGTGATACCCATCCTGACTCTTGAAGCAGGGGTACAGGCAGGGTTGCTCAATGAGTAAAGGAAACAATTTTCCATTAAAAAAAAAGAAGTCAGGGACCAAAGTCATGGAAATATTAAACTTGTAAGCCCAGAACTTAAGCACTAAGCTATAGCTGGCACAACCTGCTAGTCCCTGGACTAGCAGGTTCAGCATCACCTGGGAACCCAGGAGAAATACAAATCAGGGGGCCACACCACCAACCTTCCAAATCAGGAACTTTTTGGGGGGATATGGGAAAGGGGCTGTCCATTTTAACAAGCCTCCTAGTGATTCTGCTGCACACTCAAGTTTGAGTACCCCTGGCTCATATATTCACTTAATAATTTTTATTGAAGCCTGTTTTATGCCAGGCCCATCCACCAAGGAAATAGGAATATGCTGATGAACAAGACAGAGATGGTTCCTACCCTCATGGTGCGAAAATTCTAAGGGGACATGAGAAATTTAGATAATGGAATAAAAAATGATGCTTCAATAAAGAGTGACAGGCTGGCTGGCTGGTCAGTGACGTGTTAAAGACTTAGAAGAGGGTTGGGGTTGTGGCTTAGTGGTAGAGCTCTTGCTTTGAATGTGTGAGGCACTGGGTTCAATTCTCAGCATCACATATAAATAAAACATAAAGGTCCATCAACAACTAAAATAAATAAAATTAAAAAAAAAAAAGACTTGGAAGAAAGGAAAGCAAAACCTGAAAAATGTTCCTGGCTGAAGGAACACCAAAGGTCTTCAAATGGGGAACAGTCAATGTGTTCAAGGAATGAGAAAGAAGGGCAATGTGTCTGTAACGCTGTGTGAGGAAGAGATGGCAGGAAATGGATCCATTATATAGGGACTTAAGGACTTAAGACTTAAATCTGGAATTCATTCTCAAAACAACGCAAATTCTTTGAAAATTCTTAATGACTTTAAATTCTTAATGACTTTAAAACTTTGCTCTATGGAGCATAGACAGAGGCAGGCAAAAGTTTGGGGAACAAAGTGGTGGGAAGGAGCTGGAGAAGGGCAGGTTGAAGCATCATCAGACGGGGCCTTGAAGGACTTAGGGGTTTAGGTCCTAAAATTGGTTTAAGCCTTTGTACTTGACCCTGAAGGCAGTGGTAAATCATGAAAGAGTTTTCAACACTGCCACACTCTCCCATTCCCAATACTAGTTGCTAGCTGGAGAGCTGGTTCTCTCTGCTGGTCTTAAGTATCTCCAAGGGAAGGTATGATATGAGTAGAGCTGAGTACAAGGAAACCCCCACTGGAGGAACAGGCAGCCTGTAGATATGTTTTTCCTTACTCCATGTCCCAGGTTGCAGTTTGTCCTCAATATTAGATATGAATGACTTTAATTTCATTTTGTTTTAATGTCAAGAGATTTCATAAACTTACCAGATCTCCAAAAGAAAACAAGAAGGAAAATATTTTCCTGTCATATCTACTGACCTACTTATCTCTGGCAAAACTGAGTACAATGGTTGCCCAATAGAACCAAACAGGAAACTCTTTTCTTTTCTCTCAGGGAAAAAGCAAAGCAAAACATAGCCAAATCTATACTTTTTATAATAACAGAAGTGAGGGATGACAGTCACTAGAAAACAACATGAAAATGTATACCATTATGTAAATTAACCAAGAGCAATGAGACAATCCAGTATTTAGGATTTTAAAACTCTTTTGATGCTGCTACATTCCTTTGGTGAACAAATATATTCTGCCCTCATGATTGATTTACCTTAGAGATTTCTGTTCTCTGGAAGATCATTCCAAAATATTTCTCTGGTTTGCCCTATTTCTGTTTTTAACCTTTAGTTTTTTCAGTGCTCCTAGAATAAAGTCAGGGGAGGTAAAGCCTTGCTCAGAATTGTAAAATATAACTTGCCTTTTGGTTGAACATTTACAAAAAGACAAGTAACAGGTCAATGATTAGTATGATAACCTGCCAGAAGCTACACAGGATGGAGGTGAAACTGTGGCAAGAACACCTGAAATTATTTTAAAAGCTATTACTCAGAAAGGTAAACATAAGGCCCATTTCAAATCTGTAGGTCAGTAACATCTTAAAAATCTACTGTTTCTCAGAAATCTGAGGCCACAAATATACATGTGCAAACACCCCACCCCCAACACATAAAAATATACATTATACTTAGCATTTTTAAACACGTACTTCTGCCTGATTCCCCACTGTTGTAGACTAAATATTTGTGTCCCACCCCCCAAATTCACATGTTGAAGCCCTAACCCCCAACATGGTATCTGAGTGAAAAGTAATTTTGTTAGATAAGGTCATAAGGGCTGCCCTCATGAGATTAGTGACTTATAGGACATATCAGAGAACTTGTATTCTCACCACTATATGAGGACACGTCATGAAGATAGCCATCTACAAGCAGGAAGAGGGTCCACCAGGAACTGAGTCAATGGGCACCTTGATCTTGAACTCCACAGCCTCCAGAACTATGAGAAATAAATGTCATTTAAACCACTCAGTCTGGGTATTTTGTTATAGCAGCCCAAGCTAAGAAACCCATTCACAGGGTACCTATCCAGGATTTTCCTTTTCACCTACATGAATAAAGAATATATAGTCAGCAGCAACTTTGTGCTAAATGAGAAAAAGAAATAATAAATAGTAAGAGAGCTCAGAGAAGGTGGAGAGCCCAAGGCAGGGAGCAATTTTCAGGAAGATGAAGTATCATATAACTATAGTGCTAATGATCCAGTCTAGTGTTTGAAAACATGGGTTACAATACAACAATAAATCATAATACCAAAGGAGTGAGTTAGGCAAGCTTAAAAAAAGGAAAATAGATCATAAAACAAAATAGCAAAATGTGTTGCTCATGGTAAGAGTAAATATTGTTTCATGAAATTTTTGTCTCAATTTGTATCTGTAGAAATAGATTTGGATGAGTACTCTGGGTCACAATGAAAGATCTCTTAATGTGAGCTCACAGCCAACACTGACTGAAAGCCATTGATCTAGCCCAATGCTCTCATCTCATATATTTACTGTTAAAATTAAGTTATTTTATAATGAGTATTTGTGTAAATTCTCCTTTTTTAAACTTGAGCATTTAGAGATAAACCTACAATTCCTTTGGACCAATACTCTGCATTCTCAAAAGTAATCCTCATTAACAATTTGGTGGTTATCTTCTAGATCTTTTCCTATGATTTTATTTACATATATGTGCACCTATAGAAATGACATAGTATTTTTAATATGTTTAGATTCTTTTAAAACCTATTTCAATCAGGTTCCAAACAGAAAACAGATGGGACAATTAAATTAGAATACTTTGAAAGTAGTTAAGAGACTATTTGTAAAGGTGTAGGCATGTGAGGAAATTACAGAGGTAGGCAGAGGTTAGTTCATGCAGGGTCTTACCAGCTGGGTTAATGAGTTTAGACTTTACCTTCAGGGCAATGGGAATCTATTCAAGAGTTTTAAATGGGATAGTGGCAAGCTGGGGATTTAAAATCTTACTCTGTTATGTGGACACTGGTTAAAGGGGTCAAAAGAGGGAGCAGGAAGATCCAATTGAGCAGTTGTTCAAGCATAGATAATGTGGGCTTAGACCATGGCTGAGCAGTGGAAGTAGAGAAATGTGGACCACTTCAGGCTATATTTTTGAGACAGAATCAAAGATATTGGGAAGTGGATTGGGTGGTGGCATATCAGGCAAAGGGAACTGAAATTGTCTCAATGCTGAGAAAAATAATGCAGGCATCAAAGATAGAAGTGACCACACCAAGAAGACAAGCAAATCACAGAGAGAGATGAACAGGTTGAACACATCAAGTTTGAGGTAGTTGCAGTGGGGCCTTTCTGTGAAGCTGTCCTACCAAATGGTAGTATCTGGGAGGTGGAATGATTAGAGATTGCTTACTGTTGACAGGGTCTGGGTCCATTCCTGCTAGCTCTACATCTCAAGCCCCACCAACATGGCAGCTTGCATAGTAGTCTAGAGGGGTAGCCTGAATGGACTTTGGGGATAGGGGAGGAAAATGGAAACATGATGGTGAAATACTGAGTTTGAGGATGCATTTCTGATAACATTTGCAGTACCAGATATTGAAAGAGCATTATTTGTATTTATTTGTGAATAATAATAGGAGTTGAACTTAAGAATCAGTAGCTCCACAGGTTACACTCTCTAGGAATCAGACTTTGGGACTGAAATTAGCATGCCTGAAGTATATCAGGAAGTGTTCTTAGTATAAACATCAGTAGAAGGGAAGAGAAGGAGAA